GGAACTGACGTTTGTGGCACATCGTGAATCAGATGAAGCTAATGATACACAAATCATCTGACAAGATTCCTTTAGGACATAATACAACTAGCATTGGCTGGCAGCTTCGAATCGCATGACAGAAATGTCACGATACCATTATGTATTATGTCAGTTGTTTCTCTGGTGTCTTTGAAGCAGGTACGGTGTCCGACGGTACTACAAGCTAGGCGTCCAAATAAGAATAGTGGTTGCATAACTATTGAATCGGGTACTACAGACTGTCCAACAAAATGAATAAAGCTTATTTAAACAAATGATTCGAAACCGTAGATTCTGGACCATTTGTTGCCAGATGTCGTCGACGATACCAAGGCATGCTTAACGAAGCGCGCAGACATTAAAGCATTGACAGAGGCGATGTTGGATGCCCATCTACAGAAGTATGGCTAAAATGACTTCATTCGTAGCTTCCAGCAACTACGCAAGGCATGACCACTTTCTATAACCGGATCAGGCAGTTTTTATCCTAAGCGAACCCTGACGCCGCACACGACTTCTGAGCGATCCGTAAATCAATGTAATCAGATAGAGAGCAAATCTCACTTTTAGAACAAAACCACTTCTTTGCGCTGCTGAAACTGAATGGATTTTCTAGCAATAATCTAAGACAATTTATCAAAGACCAAGTGACCAATACCTGGCTTTCGCGTCATATCGCTGAGATTTCCTGCTGCAGTCGAAATGACAACCTCAGAAACGTTGGTGCATTATAAAGAAGGCAAGATACCTCACCCTTATGGTGTCTGTTAACATCGGAGTCACGTTTCCAGGAAAGACGGATCGTTGTGAACTTAAAATTATTATTTGAGGTAAACGTTCTACTGAAATGGTTCAGGCGCAAATAGTACCAACTAATGCACTCATACGGCGTAATGGAAACGGATAAACTGCAAACTTTGAGAGTACTGATAATTCCAAGTTGGAAAGATATGAGCCAACTTATTACTAGGCTTCCAATACGAATCGGTTCAGTGCAAGTAACAATGGGAATGACGCAGCTTGGCACAGAC